CCTAATAGAGAGGATGCGCATCATTTCATACCAGGCGTACCCTTGAGAAATCAGGTGGCGAAACCTGCGTCCGGATGAGGAATCATCTGAAAGCACGACCTTGAGGCGTTGCGACAGAAGTAGTAAAAAGTCGTTTTAGCCGTACCCAGTTGCCAGATGGAGAAATAGAATTTAGTTAGATTTTTAGCAAGCCATGTAAAACCAGAAACTTTGGTGGCAAGTAATATGAGCCGCTACGCTGAATCATTCAAACCGGCTTACTAAAACTCAGGATCCAAGAGCCTCATTCCACGGATTGGTCACAAAGCAGCGCGGTATAAGGCCAAAAATTGAGATAAAATTACGAATGAAATAAACACATTAGATCTCGCTATAAATGTCATTTACGCTAAATCAGAAAAATCCAACAATGCAATTTTCATGTCTCTCCTTGTCTCCTTATTCTACTTCAGATGCAATGTCGACAGGTATTCAGTGGAGGCAGTTCTCCTATCATCATCCAGCTGTAGTCAGAATATATGACGTGATGGCACTCATACGCTCGCTCGTCAACTTTAGCGAGATCTTGAGAAATTCTCTTGCAATTTCAGGTTCCTTCTGCTGAAGCTTCTTCCAAGACTCCAGATCCATCAGCCACACAGTGCAGTCTCTCTCGACTTGTGCTGTTGCCGTACGGCTCGTTTCGGAAAAGAAGGGCAGCTCGCCCAAGGTAGTGCCAGCTACGATGCTTTCGCAAAGCCAACCTTGAGGAAGGTCGTATTCTGCTCGGATGATGCCACGCTCCAAGAGGTAAAAGCCATCTGCCGGCTCGCCGCGTTTGAATAGGGTCGTGCCAGCAGGGTATTCCTTGCGCGTAAAGTAGGGCGTTGATTGGAACCAAAAGTCTTCATTCTTGTCGCTTAGCCCCTGGAAAATCTGCAGCATAAGTCGCAGCGGTTCATTAAAACTCTGCCATCTAGAGCGACGCTGGATTTCAACGCTGTTGAGGGCGTCATGTGCCGCCTCCGCAAGATAATTGCGGCGCGGAGAGTTGAGCGGCGCGTCCAAAGAGGCCAACGTTGTCGATGCTGTTGGGACATCTAGATTTTCCGTGCTGCTCTTTGCCGAGTTCAGCTCTTCTTGTCTAGCGTAGAGAGTCTTTAGCAACTCGTTTTCACAGCTTTCCAATGCTGAGTTCAGGTCAGGCAACATCATGACTTCAATGTTGCCGCTCCCCAACCCCACAGCTCGCAGACTCCGACCGAGTTCGCTCTCAGAGTCTATACCACTGAGCATAAAGTGCACGCCCTTTTTATTCAATATCCGGCTGATCGTGTTAAAGGCCTCGCCCGCAGAATAGTCAAGCCCACTAACATGCCACATGTCGAGGACGAGGAACTTGATCGGCTTTTGAGCAAACGCATGGTCGTCCAGGAGTGCTCGAATCTTGGCCTCCACGCTGACGACTGTGCCGAAGAACAGATACCCTGTGAGTTTCATGATGTAGATTTGCCGCCCAACCTTTTGCAGGTAGTTGTCTTGTGAAGGGTTGCGTCTGACGGTTGAAGTAGCGACGTCGCCATCGTAGGACGCTCGAATGGCCGACACTCTCGATGTCTGAATAATGAGTGAGACAAATGCTAGCAATATTCCGACACCAATGCCTACGACAAAATCGTAGATGCCCATGACAAGAACAATGACAATGACGGTGAGGTACTCTGCAGGCCTAAGCTTCTTTCGTGGCAACCACACCGCCTCAAGCAGTAGTTCGAATCCAAGGTCAAAAATCAGCGTTCCAACCATCATGACGGGAATCCATCCAATGATGCTAGGCCCAATAACCATGACACCAAAGGTGAGAAGCGCAAGCATATAGCCAGCAAGCCGTCTGTTGCCTCCAGATCGCAGGAAAAAGACGGTGTTGGCATAAACCAAGTAGTTTTGAATGCTGCCTATACAACCCGAGACAAAATTGGAATAACCATGGAGCCTTAGTTCTTTATCCAAATCGGCATGGTCTTCTCCGGAGTTGAGCGCCAACGCAGGGACATTGATAGGGACGTGAAGAATGCCAAAGAAAGTCAAAGCAAACATGGCCGGGATCACCTCAACGATGGCTCTCCAGTGAACCAGCTGAAACTCTGCCCAAGAAATTAGCCATGGCAAATAATGTGAGATAAATGGGGGAAATAGTATACTCACGGTACAAGGTATAAAAGTACCACCAAGGTTCGTCCGGCGGAGGTCCCACAAAGATCCATCCATGATCTCGGAGTGTGCTTGGGTCTAATACGTCAAGCGAGAAGACAAAGAGATAGAAGACGAGGGGAATAGCCAATATAAATAGGGGAAGAAAGTATTTGGATGCGCCTTTCATCTGACCATAGAATAGGATAATGGCCAAAATTAGAGGGCATATCCAGAGCGGGATGGTTTTGGTTTCAAAGAGCTTCCCCAACGTATCGAGGTCATATTCGAGACTCCCTTCTAGCCGAGCTGAAACCTCGAAGCCCGTAGCTATTAAGAACCACCCGACACCGCCTATACATCCTATCAGGATGTGCCTAGGGATAAATCCCACCATGTAGCCAAATTTAAATTTCCCCATGAGGTAGAACACCAAGCCAGTCAGCATGGAGCTTAGAGCATAAGCGACAATCGTCGTGGCGATGACTGCATCGGGGTTGTCTTCACCAACCATGTCTAAAATCTTGGCTGCCATGTTGTGAAAGAAGGGAACAACTTCAATCTATATTCGGGTTAAATCAGGGTACTTCAGAGGTAGTTATCAACAGAAATCGCACATACCAGTTCAGATCCCACCGCCCCTCGAAATATACTGCCCGTAGAAAAGACGAGTTGCGCCACAATTGTGCTGACATAGTATATAGAAATACCAGCAGATCCTAGATGAGAGAAAATAGGCGTTCCAAGTGGAAATAGAATCATGCCTAGTCTGGTCAGTTGCGTCCTTCTTGTGGGTGTACATGATAGACTCACCATATGACAAGGCATCCAAGATGTTCAGTAGCAGACCGACAGCGACCGCCGGAAGACAAGAAACTGGGTCGACAACAGCAGTCTCCCAAATAGCCTTTCCATTCCAGCTTCGTGGGCTGGAAGCTATCTTTGCAATCCGAATGACATGATGCTTCGCTTTCTGGCGCCGCGCAGCCAGTCCGCGCAGCCACCTCGTCCGTGCCAGCGTCTTTTGCCCTTCAAGATCAACGCTAGTGCTACTAGTATCTCCTGATCCAGATGTTCGGCTACCAAGGAGAGGGGTATATTCTGAGTCTTCCGTTGCGGCTGCTTCTGGACGGTGCGGTGTCTCGTCAATTGGCGAGGATTGGGCTTGGTCGGCGTCGACATTCTCAACTCGAGTTTGCGGGATGTTGTTGTTTTGCTCCAGTAAAGACGACGGAGGAGACGATCTCTTTAATAAATTCGCAAGCGCAGACGGCCCCCCTTCCTCCCCAGTTCGTGTTCCTTCTTCTTGTTCTTCTGGCGACGGCGGTTCGGAGACTTCGAGGATAGTCCCTGAGGAACGCCGCACGCTTCCATCCATAGAGTCCGCATCTCCAAATTCTAGGCCAGAGCCTTCCTGAGATGGCGGTCTGTTCCTCTGGAGGAAGCTCGGGCGCCGCTGTGTTGAGCCATCGGACAGCAAATAACTCGCTAGCTCAGCTGTATCTTCGCGGACGCTCCTCGCAATCTGTGCGCTATCGACCGGAGCTGTTCTTCCTGTTAGCGGCGCATGACATGGCAAGGAAACGTCGCAGTAGAATTACCCAATTGATCTCGTACTGAGGCATGGATGAATGATCGGATAGGCTCCTTATAGCCTTGCGTAGATCCCACGGATGAAGATAGTAGTTGATGCTGCGAAGTTCCAGCCTCTAACATCGAGCCCTCAGCATGGCTAGCTGTATCGGTACGGTCGTGCTGCGATTGCTCCGTTTGCGAGGCCAGGCTAGAGGCTCTCTTGCGCCATGGCGAAAATCCTGACCTTGAGTACGACATGCTTGGAGCATCCAATGGTGGAGCTCAGCCGATGTGCAGATCGGCGATGCTTCAATACCGATACTGCATGAGCAGACGAAGTTGGCAATGGTTTCGGAATGAGCACACGCGAGGCAGCTAATAAACAATCACGGCGACGAGTCAGCCTATGCGCACAGCAGGCGCAGGAACTCGAGGGGAAATAAAGGGCGACACCATGGAGAGGAGAGGAGAGAAAAGCCCATGCAGAGAGTAAGGGACGGCAGCATCGAGAGAGATAACGGCTATCGAGGAACTTTGCTAAATCCAGAAATTTTCGGGGCGGTGGCGCCGAGGCCGGGCCCGCGCAAGCGAAATAGTAGACCTTCCTTGTCCAGATAGCAGTCTTCGGATCACAAGTCCCGAAGCTGAAGCTGCCAATTGCTCTTACGGAATTGTAATACAGTGGAAAATGATGCCATTGAGAGCCGTTTCTCCAACTGCCATCGCATGTCAAAGCAGCTCATGTTTTGCTAGCGATGCTACCGCTAGGTGACACCAAATGCAACGCCCCGGCTGTTGGATGCACATGCAGTGCTTCGATCCGGCTTAGCCCATCCAATGAAGTGTGGGAGATTGCCCACTTCTTGCAGGTCCTCTGCAGGTCTAGTTTGCATTAGTGGTTGGAGTCAATGGTTCATTTTGTAGATAAGTGATACCGGCTGTGCTGTGCTGATCTAACGCAATTCCTCCGGTGCTAAGTCGTCACGAGTGCGCGATATCCTCTACCGGCAGCTTGGAGCCATTCTCGCCAACGGCCGTTTTTATAAGTCCCTCACTTTGTATTCTGAGCATAACATGTATCCTCATCCCGGCAGAGGCCTCCAATATCATCATCCTGCATTGGCTATTTCAGTCACCTGTGTCGTGCTCTTTAGGCTCAATAGCAGAAGCCCTGATGGTAAAATCCAGATGCATCCAGACTTCTATCCCTCGAGACATCTCTTCCAACTCACACGATATTCTTTGGAGCAAGTAAACGTTAAATCATTCATTATTCTCGTAAAAGAGCAATTAATATCGTCATGCTGCAGTTGTAGTCTTCAATTTTCCCTCAACTCAAATGAAACCCTTGTTACGCCTATCGGTTATTAACCCCCAAACCCCATGATCCAAACCGATTACCCTTGAAGCTGTATATCATATCAATCGTTTACCCTCTTTTGCGGGGGTGTACCCCATAGCATGCCTGCAGATGAATACACTCAGCTGAGCTTCTGCAGATATCCTTGGGCAATAAGCCGCTCCACATCTCCCTGCCGGACGTAGAACTGGCTGTTCTTTGTCAAAGTAATTGCCCTGTAACCTCTTCATGAACATAATTTCCAATCACAAGTTCAAATCATTACTCACCCATATTCTGTCTGAATTTCTCCCGCATCTTTGAGAACACGAACGTCGATGAACAGATCCCGCGGCGGCTCCAGGCTGCCAGTGAGATCAATGTCTGTCCATTGGCCCTTGTATGCTGCCAGCAAATCGCCGTACTGCCGCACATAGTCTTCTTCCTGTGGGCTAAGGCTGCTCGTAGATCCATCGCCGCTCGTCAATCCTGTGCTATTCCTAGACGAACCATCTCGTACTTGTTGGCCAGACAGATCAACCACATCCGCGCCATTCCAGACGAGCTCTTCCAATTTATCAGTGCGAGTTCTGTGATATGCCAGCAAACATCGTTTATTTCTGCGCATTGAGATGTGATTCACGAGCAACGTATATGCGACTGCCTGGTCTTCTGACGGGTCGAATGAGCCTTGGAAGGGCTCGAGAAGATCATCGACATCCTTGTTGAGGTCTCTGACTTCTCTGGTCACTGCTCGAACAAGCTCAGTCTGGTATGGAGGCAGATGGGCCAGATTCTGCGTTCTCTTGGCGTGTTGAACCTATGAAAGTGGTGAGACGCGTTGCGGAAAAGTCAAAGGACGAATCGTACCAGCTTGATGCCCGAATCTCCATACATTTTACAGCGGACCAGGCTTTACTAGAAATTTTCTTATCGAATTCAAATAGCTTCTTGGGGCTTTGAGACAATGTCAGCTTGAATCGAATTTCTAAAGTGCCATGAATGCGTCGAGGGAAAGGTTATTCACTGCCTTATCATGGTGAGGTGGGAATTCGACTAGATCTACGGAATAGCACAAGTCGAGTTCACGCTTCACGCTTGGACCCCACCATGCCGCAGCTGCTTACTGGCGGTACCTGAACGCGAGTTGGCACATCCGAGACTTCAACGCCTGGCTGACACAAATAAAGACGGATTTCGAATTGCTTTAAGCTGACTTCGATTGGCTATTTATGATTGATAATCACATGCATTGAGTAGACGCAAATTTATTTTATGAATAGGGTTAATATGTGATATTTGAGCTATCCTAATTTGTACTTTTGACATCTACAATACGGAGTACGTGGATTCGCATCAAGTCTTCCGCCTTACCTTTCATCGAGCTTTGGCAGCAATGTTGCGATATTATTCAACAGCTTCCTCCGAGACCAATCGCCAGCAGGCGTTTCGAATCATTGGATTATAGTTTAAACCATTCGTTTGGAAGCTACACAGCATATTGGTTAGCAATGTTGCCAAGATGCGTGTGAAAATAAAATTTCAGCGAGTATGGGATAGAGTTCAGTGTTGCACAAGTGCTTGTTGTGTCGTCTTGCGGCGGGTCTTGAGTCCGCCTCCGAAACACGGACCAATGTTTTTCATCAGGATATCCAGAGGGAAGTATTTTGTGAAGTGAAGAGAAATTTTTCAAGTCTTACCTTGTCTTGCAATGCTGAAAGCTTGGGTTAGCAGCCAAGTCAGAGCATATAGTCGCAAATAGCAAAAGAAATCCATCATGAGATAGAATATCACATCGCTGACCGTCTTACAAGCTTCATTCAGCTTCCAAAGGCAGTCATGCTGGATAAATTCTCAGTAGACATGGAAAATGGAAAAGGAAAAAAAATCTAGGCTAGGAAGCTCATTTATTTTGGCGGCAGAAAAGCTACTTTATCGATATGGGATAAATATCGGCCCGGTGCCCCACTCTTGCTCTAAGCTCGACGTAAGAGCTCCTGTAGCCTACAGTGCCGCCCGCCACCAGGTCGGCACTGCAGATGGAGCATCTGAAGCAAGCCTGCCTCAATTACGCCCCAATCACCTCTTCATAACCCCAAAGAACCTTTCCTAGTCACAGCTCTACGGGGTATTCCAAAATGCCGATTGCACCGATAATTACGTTCAAGGCCGGCCAGTGTGACGTCGACGTAAGGCACAACTGCAAACGATCTACAGCTATCCCACTTGGCCGCTGACATTGCTGTTATAGACATCGTCGAAGCCATACAAGGTCACGCCACAGCCCGAACCCGGCTACATCTATCTATACTCCGAAGATGGTCAGTACCACAGGAAGTGGGCTACTATATTGACGATATCCGTTAACAAGAAATAGACCTGGTACATTTCTGCTGGCGTCGTCGGGACCAGCCCTTAGACGAGCCCGAGCTCGACCTCGTCATGGTTCCCACAGATGGTAGCTTTCTCCCATACGAATACAAGACAACACCCCAACCAACAGCAAAGACCAACGGCCGCATTTTCGCCCTTAAATTTGCCTCTTCTTCTCAGCGCCACCTGTTCTGGCTGCAGTCCAAGCCTCAGGGACGAAACGGCGACGCAAGCTACTTTAGCCCTCGAGATCGCAAGATTGGCGATATTGTTCACAGACTTCTACAAGGTGAAGAGGTCGACGTGACACGAGAACTGTCGGCCATTCGAAACAACAACGACCAAGACGATGAAGATGAGACGATGGAAGACATCGAGGGCCACGGTCAAGAGCACCATGGAGGAGGCAGCGGCGGGGCAGGTGCCGATGCGACGGGAGGCGACGTGCGAGAGGAGGGCGAGGAGTCCAGAGAAGGCGGAGCTGATGGCGCAAGAGCGTAGGTTGACCCCCTTCTTTTTCACGGCTGATTACGAAATGGTTCGCGCATGGTTGGCTGGTTCAAATCACTGGTCTCTGGGAGTCAATAGCATGCTTTGGCACAAAAATGAAAGCCAATTAGTGTACTAAGAAACGTCCTTGTACCGTTGAAAAGAGCTACGCCCAATTATATCAAGATATCATTACGTGACTTGCAACTACTTGGAGAGGACGAGGCTAATTTTCTTTCCAGAGCCTCGTCTTCATCCCCTGATGCCGCAGCTGCAGTAAGAAACTTTCTCGATTCACTCAGAGGCCAGAGCGGCCTTGCCGGCGCGCAGCAGCAACAGCAGCAGCAGCACGACATCTCTTATCCCTACCTGAGTCATCTGCTACCAACGTCCATCACAGTCCCCATCGTTGACACCCTGTCAGCCGAGCAAGTGGACTCCCTTCTCAGCTTCCTCCCGCCCGCTGTTATTGTGCTCGCCAGCGACACGGTTGGATACGATGGCACATCAGATCCAACTGCCGACCAAATCAAGGCCGCCAACGAATCACTATCGCTAGGGAAGAAGCAAGCTCTGCTAAAGAAGGTGCTTCGAAGCCCTCAGTTCCATCAGGCCTTGGGCACCTTGACAATGGCCCTCCGAGATGGTGGACTCCCCAGCATTGCCGACGCGCTCAGCATCAAGGTGGAAAAGGATGGATATCTACAGCCTGGAATGCCCATGGGCGGCAATTCTGCTGTCAAGGTATTCATTGATGGCGTGAAGAAGACGGTGAAAGATAATAAGCAGTAGGTAGACTGCGAGTAGTGTATGTTAACAGGTAGACATGTCTCATGAATGCCACGCCGGACGCCTTGTTGGTGTAATATAGATGGAGGAAATGAACAATGCCTCAATATTACGGCCTTCTCCTTTTAAAATCTCTCCTCTCCCATTTACTCCGTCTCAAAGTATCAAAGCGTTGCTATGCGTACCTAGGTAGGTATCGTGTATAAAAAGCACAAGTCAAGCAAGTGTCCTCGCCAACGAGCTGTAATGCAGGTACTGGCTGGCGGTGGGGCCGATGATGGGCTGCAGGACGCTAAGCCTTTGACAGCCGCCGGTGCGCATCCGTTATATCTTGAATCTATTACCTTATACCTACTCCCTCGCAATTGTCTGTCCGTCATGACTTGTTAGCCATCCTACGCCTCTCGCCATTCTCCACTCTCCAGCATAGAATAGACGCGATGGACGTGCCGTTTCCGACCGACGTGCAGGAGTTCGACAGCGATGACCGAATATCCTTCTCCAAGCTCGACAACAAGTTTATTGCTGTCCACGACGACGGAACGGAGTTTGAGTTTGATCCCGAGCTGAAGCGATGGAGCGCCATAGAAGAGGAGCAAATAGACGACGATCTAAACGAGCTTAGAGAGTTCAGCAGAACCCCCGCAGACGATGCTACTTCTGCCAAGAAGAGGAAGGCCGACTCGCAGAATGGCGACGCAGTAAGTTTAGGCAGTCAAGCAACGAAATCACTAGGGCTAGCTCTCGCGGTTTCCGAGACACAGCATTGGTGGGAAACCTTTACTGCTATGAAATCAACTGACTTGAGCATCTCCTAGGACAACGGAGCTCCTAAACCAGCGCGTCCGAATAAAAAAATGAAGCCTCCTCCGAAACCGAGGCAAAACACCGCCGTATACGTGACCGGCCTCCCTACAAACGCCACAGTCGATGAGATCCACGACCTCTTCTCCCGCAGAGCCGGCGTCATCGCCGAGGAAATCGACAGCGGCGCGCCCCGAATCAAAATGTACACCGACTCCGAGGGCAACTTCAAGGGCGATGCGCTCGTCGTCTTCTTCAAGCCCCAGAGCGTGGACATGGCCGTCATGCTGCTGGACGACACCGTCTTCAGATACCTGCCCGATGGGACGGCGGAGGGCCGGATACGAGTCCAGGTCGCCGACTCGAGCTACAAGAAGACGCAGTACGAACCCGCGGGCGGCAGCGGCGACGCGAGCAATGGCAGTGGGAGCGGGCAGGCGAAGCCAAGGAATGAACGGGACCGGCAGAAAATCATCAAGAAGACGCAGAAGCTGGCTGCTAAGCTTGCGGACTGGGACGATGACGAGCCATACCCGGCACTGGCTGCTCCGTCCAATTCCAAGAGAGATAAGACGGTCATCCTGAAGCACATGTTTACTCTTCAGGAGCTGGAAGAGGACCCGGCGGCCCTGTTGGAAATCAAGGAAGACATCCGAGACGAATGCTCCAAGCTAGGTCCGGTAACCAGCGTAGTGCTGTACGATTTGGAGCCCGATGGAGTGGTATCTGTCAAGTTTAAGAATGTCGAGTCCGCAGCCGCCTGTATCAAGCTCATGAACGGGAGGAGCTTTGGTGGCAGCACGGTGCAGGCATCATTGACAACGGGTGAGAAGTTTAAGAAATCCAAGGAGGAAGCAGGCGATGATTCAGATTAAAGGGGAGAAGAGGGAGAGAAGCATGGAAGAGAGGGTGTAGCATTGGCGCCTTTTTTTTTTTTTGTCTTATCATCACATAGATCATTGGCTTTTTGCAAATTGTAAGTTTTTTTTGCTTTATTTTTTGGCTACTTATGAGGTAGTATTGATAAGATACCCATAAATCTGCTTTTATACCACGAATAATGCTGGTGGTTCTGTCTCCATAAGCTATCCGACTCATTGTGAACAAGAACCTCATGCTATACATGCCAAGGAGAAATGTAAAAGAAACCCCATTCGCTGCAAAAGAACACATAAATTGGCCGTTAAAAGGCTCGATCCAAAGGAAAAGTTGATGACAAAAGGAAGAGACGTACTAGCCAGTGGCTCATTTCAGGCTCATTTTGACATCTTCGGCCAAGGTATACCATATCGCAGCACTGATAATCTTGCAGACGATATCAAGCTCCATATCATCTATAAATAAATGTACTTGTAAGCAATAGTACTCCACACACAAGGCAAAAAATAAGAAAAGAAATGATCAGAAGCGTCATTCTGACAGGAAAACCTTAAAAGGACCAAATTCGAGTTTAAAATCTTACCTCTGGGAGCGTAAACCATCACAAACTCTTGAGCAACGGGCATCTGGATGTACTTGCCCTTCCACGCCAGAGGATGCCTCTGTCCCCAGCCCTTTTGCAATATCTCTTTGATGTCATCCGGGTGGAGACTCATGTGCATCGAGTGATCCGAGTCGTGGACGTGGCAAATCTCGCCCTGGCAGTTGGTCTGCAGAGGATGCCTCGCGAAGAGGGCCAGGCCATGCTTTTCCAGACACGAACGCTCGGTGCCGAATTTGGTGGGGTTCTGCGCGCTCAGCCTTTCCATGGCTCGGCGGAGGGCAACGTAGCATCGCCGGGAGCCATGCTGGTCGAGTTGGCGTTGAGGAGCGATGCCAGCAACGACGGGGCGAGGGCCGGCGCGATAGGGAAGCACCTGGGCACTCAGAACGCCTGCTTTAGGAAGACGATTCGGATCTGGTTCGGGGGCTGTGAAGGGATCGCGGAGAGAGAGCATGCGTAGGCAGGTGATGCGGATATAGCCTTGGATAGTGGCCGGCGTGCCTCCCGGCCCAAGGCTCAGGAAGTTGTTGTAATCGTTGTGGATGAGAAGTGCGACAGGGACGATGCTGACGACTGCCTCGGCCAGGAATGAATCCAAGAAGTGAATTGCGAGTACAATTCCCAAGGTAAGGACACATATAGAAGGGCCGCCCAGCGTAACTGAGACGGGCGTCTGGCGGACGATGCAGGAAGCCTTCAACAGCTCCAGCTCTGAGGGTTGTTCTGAGGGCTCCTCATCGAGCTCCGGGACCAGAGACAAGGAGGTGATTGTCTCGGTTGGAGCAATTGATACTGACATGACGACAGGGCAGCGATGGAGAGAAGAGGAGGCAGATATCTGGTGCAAGGAGGAGTTTAACCACGGGAGCCCATGAGTGAGGTCAGGCACTGATACAAGGGAAGCCCGCAGTTGTAGTATACGGAACCGGTGCGAGGCGGAGGGGTCTGGGGTTTAAGCCATGTGAGGAGTCGCAGACAACATATATGGCCCACGAGGAGCTGGAAAGCAGGGTCTGAGGCCAGGGGGATGTCCGGCGGTCGGCGTTAGAAGCTAGATACGCAGTGGCTGATGATGGTCGGTTTGCATTCAATGGGTCTCAGGGCATTGGAGAGGAGATCTCGGCCGGAAAAGCAGACGTCAGGACGATGGGGAGTGCTAGCCCCATGAGTAGCAGATGCATGCAATTACAATAGCCAAGGGTAGAAGGGGTACTGTTGTGGCCGTGGCTGGGATGCAGCGAGGGCTTCTGTGTCACATCACGTTGCGCAAGGATCGGAATTGAAGTTTAAGTCAAGCTTGGGGCTGGCGCCGTCTTCGCTGATCCAGCGGATCACGAGGCAGATGACTGTATTTAGCCACTGGGATCAAAAAGTCAGGCCTTATGACGCAGGGCTGATGTCGCATACAGCCTTTCAACCGTCGGTGCTCTAACAGCTGGCTGTAGCTGTATGTAGCTGGGCGGCTAGCCAACTCTGGCGTTTGCAGCTTGCACCGACGAGCCGATTAGTGAGGACCAAGTGCTTATTCGCGGGACGGCCAAGGAAAAGGAACTGAATCGCACATCCGTCGAGGCGCGCGGAAATCCCATCTCGGATGTGACGAGTGAGGAGTAGGTGGCTGTCGGTTCGTGTTGCGTAGGTAGGTATCTGCAATGTGACACAAGCATCTAATCCCAGCACGGGTGTGGATAATACGGCAGCCATACGCCTAGCCATTAACAAGATGTTGCAGTTACCCTTTCCAGATCTCATTTGTTCGGGGCTTGCAGAGAGCAGGTGGTCCGATACTCCGCATCGACTGCCACATGCCGGAAGACCGATCCGGATGGCCTGAGCGTTGCTTCAAGAGTCGAGTAGGCGAGGTCATGCGTACATGCTCTTGGTGCTGCAACTGGCGAAGACAACCCTAGCCCAGCCCAGCCAGGTTGCGAACGCTACGCGGCTCATTGGCCAAGCAGCCAGGGAACGTGTAAGGGGGCTACTGTTCACCGATACTGCATGTGTAAGTGGCATGGAAGGAAAGACAGTCGTAGTGAGATTTGTCCGCGAGTAGCCCCAGAAGGTATTAGGCATGAAGAGCTACACAAGCCCCTCGTCTTGAGGCTGCGTGACCTCGACGATGAGATGGGAGTGGCTGATATCTGATGAATACTGTCGAGACTGGAGCCTCAATCTTACACCGCAGCTCCGGATTATAGAAGCATGCTGAGCCGTGGTGGGCCGCTTCGAACGATCCCTTGCATAATCCAGGGTAGCACTGCATGTCGGATTCAACGTTTGTGTGTCCGTGGCTGATCTAGTGCGCAGAAGAGAGGAGTGTGAGGACTGCAAATGGCTAGAGATCAGTACCGCGTGGAGGTTTGGAGAACTGCAAGGACGTAGCTACAGGCTGCTGCATGAGTATGTGTTCATGCAAATAGAGGTTGGCAGTCTCTATTACAGTACTGTAGTATTGGAAATAATTTCTGAAAGACCATCGTCAATATCGAAACCCAGGATCCATTCGCCTAAAGTGGGCGCGGAATGTGCCGGCCTGGTGCCCGCTTTCCACAGCTAGTTAGGCGCCTGTGATCTGTGATGGGGCGTTGCCCAGCAACCGAGTCCATCCCACCACCATTGGCTGTTGCTGCCAAACCCAACGCAGCGGAAGGCTGACAGGGGCTTGGCTGCGTAAACGCCCGTGCCCGACGTTTTTCTGTATACACTGCTTTTCCCACGCCATCCACACCCCTCCTAATTACGCGAGCCATTCAATGCATTACGAACAGTTGCTCTGATATTGAATTCGGCTCGTGGATCGCCGTCACGATAACTCCTTCTGCTGTGTTGATACAGCCCGCGACATTGCGCGTCCTTGCACGGCACGAGTCGGTTTGCGGCTGGTCTGCTCTGCATCAAGAGGTTGCTTGAGAAGGAAACAACAGCGTCAGAGAGAAACACCAGTCAGCAGTATGCGCCAAGATTATGCATTCATCCTTCTCTCTTCATGCCGCTGATATTGTCTCATCTTCAGCACACAGACTTGAGCTCCCATGGGGCTCTCAAACCCGTTGCGACGGTCCCGCGGGACACGGCTGCCGATGTATCAGAATCACAATTCACTTGCCAAGGAGCGATATTCGAATGATGGGTATAATTCCTCATCGGACGGCGATTCCGAATCTTCATTTTCGGGCCCCTCGTCATTAGGATCCAGGAACATATCCGACTCGTATCCGGAGCGACCTTTCCTAGTCCAAAAGAAGCCCCAGAAACCTAGCTTCCAGCGGCCGAGTGGTTTCTATCCTTACAGGCTACCACCCCGAATCGTTCGATATGTTGTTTTTACGATAGTAGGATTAATACTTCTCATGGTTGGTATGCTGGCACGGGCAAGCCAAGTTGAGAACTGGAAAGTTGCCAATGGCAAAGTAGGTAGCCGGCCGCAACCTCCTGCCCTGTGGGAAAAGTTTCCACTCCTGCAGAGATACTACGGCGGTATACGTACCTTGGTTCCTCTGGAGAAGAATAAATCCGAATATCCCAAGTCTGGCGACTACACACCATCAAATCCAGCTTCAGACGGTAAAGTCGAGAATCGTGAACAGGAATTTCCGTCTAGTTACTCTTGGGACAATTATACCGGAAGACTTGAGGAGTCTGATATTAAAGAGTGTTTTCTGGACGCTGCTGGCAAAATTCGCCCACCACCGATTCGCTACTACAATGGCCGCCCAAGTGGTTTTCCCCAGCATATCACTGGTTCTTATGAAGTGTTGAACCTGCCGGAGGATGTTTGCTTTGAGCGATACGGCAAGTTTGGGCCTTATGGGTTTGGATACTCTATTCGTACCGGTGGCCTAGGCACGGGGGAGCATGGCGAGAATCAGGGCGCTGAGTCAGTCTGGGGATCTGGTTCTCGTGTAGACTACCGCAAGCTCGACTGGGCGGACATTCAACGGCGCTGTTTCCAGGCCAATGCTGGCCGATACAAAGCGTTGCCAGCGAAAACACCATCTCCAAATGGCTTCTTTGTCGGTAGCCCTGAAACAGCAAAGGTCCAGTCGCGTGATTCTCAGCCAAAGGAGAGTGACAAAGCAAAGGCTAAAGGAGATGCTTCTGCAGAAAAAACCAGCACTGGAGTGGTAAAGCAATCACGAACTGCCATCGTAGTTAGATGCTGGGACGAATTCCTATTCCGAGAGGATGACTTTGCGAATCTTCGGTCAATGATTTCGGAGCTTTCACTAGCCTCTGGAGGTCGTTATGACGTCCACCTGCTTGTCCAAGTGAAGAATGATGCTCGATACCCCGTGTGGGCCGATCACGAAATCTACGAGCAAAGGATTCGCGATGCAATCCCCAAAGAATTTCAGGGACTGGTCACCCTTTGGACTGAAACGCAGATGCTGTCCCTGTATCAAGGCATCTACGACCTTTACAGCCGCGGCCCAGAGCTTCCAGTTCACGGAGTCTATCGTGGACTCACCATGGCTATGCAACACTTTGCGTATATGCATCCCGAGTACGACTACTTTTGGCAGTGGGAAATGGACATTCGCTATACGGGACACTACTATGACTTGCTCTCAAAGATCGAAAATTGGGCCAAAGCCCAGCCTAGAAAGGGCCTTTGGGAACGAAACTCGCGATACTACTTCCCCAGTGTTCATGGCACCTGGGAAGACTTTTCACACATGGCTCGAGTGCAAAGCGAGATGGGAGCTGTAGGATCCGACAACGTATGGAAGAATATGCCGGGCGTTGATGGCCAACCCCCAGAAGCCGCCACGCAAAAGAAGATTAAGACTGTTTGGGGCCCAATCCGCCCTGCCGATGAAAAGGACTGGTTCGAGGGTGAAAAGGACCCCAGGCCGCCAACTACGTACGACGCCGATCACAACCAATGGGGCGTGGATGAAGAGGCGGATTTGATTACTCTGAATCCCATCTTTGATCCGGAAGGTACTACTTGGGGTCTGAAGGATGATATTACGGGTTACAACCGCTCACTTCCTTTACCTCCTCGACGAGCCAGCATCATCACCACATCTCGAATGTCAAGACGCCTCCTCGTGACCATGCACAAAATGACTGCGCACAAGAAGCAGTTTGCATTTCCCGAGATGTGGCCCTCCACAGTTGCCCTCCAGCATGGATACAAAGCGGTCTATGCTCCCCACCCTATGTATGTGGACCGTGAATGGCCAGTTGATTATATGGCCCAGACATATAATGGTGGTCGCGATGGAGCCACAGGCGGTTCCCGGACAAGTCTCTATGGCGAGCGCGAGCACAACTTGAAGGGCCTAACTTGGTTTTACAACTCTGGTTTTGGACCCAACCTGTACAGGCGCTGGCTGGGCTTGAAGGTCAATAACGATGGCGGAGAAGAATATGAGAAGACGGCAGACCAGAGTGGAACTGGTTCTGAAGCAGGCAGAGGAGAGGGCCGCATGTGCCTTCCGCCTATGCTCCTCCACCCCGTCAAGGGGGTAGAAATTCCCGTCGAGGCACCGCCGCCAGAAGAGCTGCCTCTAGAGGTTGAAATGCCCGAGTCCGATCCTACTGCATAAGTATTCTGAGCGAGCCGACCTTTTTAATTTTGGATCATTTGTCTAAGCGAGGCACGGCTGGCTATGCGGGCTTATTTCCTTTTTCCCCTCTTTTTTTATATAGACTTTTTGCTTGGACATATGACGTTAAGGCCATGATGATAGAGATATCCCTGTAATGTGCTGATCTATACGATGGTATTATAATACTCTTCCATAAGAGCTGGGAGATGATGAATTGAACGCTGTATATATTGATTTTTGTGTCTAGCGACTTGTGAATTTTTGGATAAACATGTGTTGCCACAGATCGGCAATTGGGTGGTATATTGCTTGTAAAATATAGAAAAACTTGCAGCGGGCGAGATGATATCCTCTTTGCATTGTAATTCATCATGTGAACATGGGCACTATTATTATTCATGTCCTTAATCACTATCCCTTCTAGTGCCATGTCGTCCTTGCTGCCCAGTACTTGGACCCTCCCAAGACTTGGATCGACCCCCTATTTACGCCACTTTAATGCGTTCATGCTCGACGTTGTTTCGATGCAGTTAACAGCTCGTGAAAATTCACTCATCCTCTACCCATACTCTGTATTTTCCTTTCCCCTTGTAGAGATTGGATTTAGACGACTCGCTTGACCTCGAAGAAGCGGCGCAGCCACCAGACCTGGAAAAGGGACTCGCCAATGACGATGCCAATGACGAACAAGTTCCACCACTTGACTCGGGAGTTTGTGCTCTCGGCAGTGTTGCGGTGGGTGCGCTCACGGAAGAGAATGTACTGCTGCTCGTCCTTGACCTGGGCGAGGAGATCGGATAGACGTCGGACTGGGAGTTGTGAAACATCATGTTAGTTGTATAAATCAAGATGGGTGGTGGACTCTTGATGAGGAAAATTGTTCATGTACCTTCAGTCTCCAGGGGATCGGCGCTAGATTCGGATTCGGTGACATAGACGATGCCGTGGACGTTGAAGGAGACTTCCTTGGTGTTGGCAACCCAGTGCTGGTTTCCGAAGCAGTAGGCGTATTTGCCGTCGTAGAGAGCCGTGAAGGAGTGATCGCCGTTAGAAACTGTCCTCTCGTTGATCTGGTATTCGCCCGAGGGGTTCATGATCTGTCCAGAGGAAGCATATCTGTTAGCAACCAAGTCCTACGTAAGAGCCACCCATGTCATATATCTTGAATTCCATGTCTGCCTACAAGGCACCCCCATCAAATCTCATATATATGGAGCAATTGCCAAGGCGAAAGAATTGAGTCATACCCAGAAGTCGATGTCGAGGTTGCCTGCACTGCCAAACTCGCGGTCGCCCACCTGGAAGGTGACGGTCATCTTGTCGTCCTTGCGCAGGCTCTCGTGGAAGCACTCGACGCCTCGGGCTGGCAGCACGATGTTGTGCGCCACCACGGCCTGGAAAGCCATGGCGGCGGCGAGGAGACTCCTCGCAGCTGAGAGGAAAAGCATCTTTTAGAAGAAGAAAAGAAATTGGCTGGCCGTGGAGGGGGACGCGAAGTCGGCAACAACGAAGCTGCAAAAAGACGTGGAAGCTCTAGCTCGTGATTATGTCCTTTTGCGCTTCAGGATCGCGAATTGGCCAACATGCCACCTACTGGCTAAGGCTGGGCTAGCCTGCCTTGCCCACAAAGCTCCCTGCCAGAGTCCCGGCTACAGGGCTAGCGGAGCCGCGGTTTTACCGGCAAGGCCTCAGGGGCACGAGAGGATCGAGATACAGCCACGATACTTGGGCGAGAGATGACGAATAGTGGGCCGAGGCGGTGGAGCCGCGTGTTTGCGCACTCTGGGGCAGGTACCGTGCGAGTACCGTCTGGCAGCGATAAGGCCCCGAGGCGGCGCAGCGTGGTAGCGGCGAATCTGGCCAGCAGCGACGGCGGTACCCTGTACCTGCAGAATACAGAGGCTGTGGGCTGGGCTGGGAGGTACTCGTCGGTACTCGCCCGCCACCGCGAGGCAGAGCCAGCGGCCAGCCCAGCGCCCCTTTGCCCCTCTCCCTGCTGCTAACGCGCTGCTAGAGGCCCGGAGTCCCTTGGCCCCGTTTCCCCCCCCAAAACTCGCTCCAGCCTGGCCAAGTTCCCTTCCCTCTCAAACCCCTCCGACTCTCTAGCAGTCTCACCGACAAGACAACGGCCGTTCTTCTTTCGCTTCGTCGTCCTCTTTCGTGAGCCCCCAGCGCGATCTCGTCTAGGTGAGTTTTTTCTGTCTGTTGTTTTCTGGAGCACTGCCTTTCCCCTGTCCGGCTCTGCGCGCCCGCGTGCCTGGATTATCAACATGCCTTTTTTTTTTTTTTTTTTTCTACTCTTACCTGGTCTCTTGTCCTCCGCAAGGGGGGAAAGTAAGGCGCTAGTCGGAGAAGACAGCTCAGCGAAAAGCAAAAATGCGGCAGCCTGCGTTTGCCTCATCCAGCAGCCCATCACGAGCATCATCCGTCATCACAGGATAACGTGTCCTCAAGCCGCTGGATAAGCACGCGAATCGGCTTCTCGAGATAAAAAGGGCTTCTCCGAGATCCATTTCTTTGGCCGCAATTGCTGTCGCTGCACCCGCTTCTCTGCCTGCTGCCCCAAATCGTCTGATCCAACGCCACCGTTGCTCGCATCTGCACATTGCACCACCAGCCAGAGGGGAAAAAGAAAAGAAAATTCATTACTGCTCTCATCATCTGCTCGGCCTTGCCTGCTTACGCGTAGCATCAAATAGGACACTTTTCTTCTCCTTTACATATTCGACGTTTGTTTAGGCCGCGTCGCCGCCAGTCGCAGTCATGGGTCTCGCCTTTTCTAAGATTTTCGACAAGCTGTGGGGGAAGAAGGAGATGAGAATTCTCATGGTCGGTCTCGATGCCGCCGGTAAAACCACCATTCTGTACAAGCTGAAGCTTGGTGAAATCGTCACCACCATCCCTACTATTGGTACATGACTCCCCTCCCCCGTTCCATCGCGCTTACGGCGATGTCGCTCCCTTAGTGCCTCTTCTAACGCTTCCACTGCTTAGGCTTCAACGTCGAGACTGTTGAGTACAAGAACATCCAGTTCACCGTGTGGGATGTCGGTGGCCAGGACAAGATCCGTCCCCTGTGGAGACACTACTTCCAGAACACCCAGGGTATCATCTTCGTCGTCGACAGCAACGATCGAGATCGTATCGTCGAGGCCCGAGAGGAACTTCAGCGCATGCTGAACGAGGATGAGCTGCGAGATGCCATCCTGCTGGTCTTTGCCAACAAGCAGGATCTGCCCGTACGTTGATACTCTACCGTCGACCAATACTGCTGCAGGAATTGGAAAAAAATGCTGACACTGAATCTGCTATAGAACGCCATGAACGCTGCCGAGATTACTGACAAGCTCGGTCTTCACAGCTTGAGGCAACGAGCCTGGGTAAGTTTATTACTTAGTTTAACAGGGCAACAAAAACCGCAGAGTGATCGCTAACGTCTTTTCCCACAACAGTACATCCAGTCCACTTGTGCCACATCCGGAGATGGTCTGTACGAGGGTCTCGAATGGCTCGCCACCACTCTCCGAAAGGCTGGTCACCAGTAAAAAACCCACTCAGGAACCTCTTCTGGTAGAGCCTCCCGCTCTCCATCCCGCCTCCCTACCGCACACTCTCGCAAAGTTCTTGCCAAGCTCGAGACTTCGGTTGTAATTTGCAAAGTTATATCGATCATACCAATCAAAATTAATCCATAAATTGTGTCAACTCTTTGTTTCAAAGTGCCTCGCACTCTCACATGCCACCAATTGTGAGCCTGTTGATATACATACCCTAACCATGTCTTTGAATTGGAGAGGGGAGGGGATTTAGCTCTTTGGAAAAAGGAAGTTGTATGGGCGTATCCTCAAGGCTTCGTTATGAATTCGTTTTCAAAGGAAAAAATAGAAGAAGAAAAAAGATGACCCCCCAAAAAGGAACAATTGAGGGCTGGGTTGATCGTTGCTACTTGACAAATTGCAGCCATTTCTCGAGCGCTCAGGTGATTTCGGAACGGAAACAGGAAAAAAACAATGGGAGTTTTCTAACAAAAGAGAAAGAAGGAAAGCGGCAAAGATTGACAAATATTTGACGGGAGAGGAAAGTTTTACTGGGGAGATGCGAGAGCGAGGAGGGCTCCTTGTTTTTCTTTTTACGACTGGGTGCCTTTGGCTGAAATGCTTTCATGACGGTTGTGTTCTGTGTTTTTTCATTGTCTCTCCATGTCATCTTGTCATTTGCGCTAGATTGGCGGAGTTGGGTTGTTCGTTGAAGGCCTCCCGGCTGGGAATGATCGTAGCGGAATTGAACGGATGGGTGCGAGGGAAGCAGGATTATCCGTGTTTTCTACGCTTTTTCTATTATATCTTTACCACTTTTATTTTACCCTTTTCTCCTTTTTATTCTTATTCTTGTTGTCTCCACCAAGTGTTGTTGTCTCTGCCAGAGTGTTGTGAATGAACTGACGTGTGTGGCATGACTATTATCTGTTTTCTTCGATGAGTGTCTTTTTCGCTCTCTCTCTAGCAATGGAAGAAGTTGAGAAGTTTCGAGAGAATAAATGTATGCAGTGCAGATAGAACAGATTGAACCCGATAGCTGGAATATAATGGATCATGAACGATCTTGTAGATTTCCTTTTGCCATCACTAGCCGGTACGCATCTTCTCTGCGTGCGCCATCACCAGCGACGGAGGAAGGAGCCGAGCACGTGCGTTGCCGCACCTGCCAAACAATAACCAAGGAAGGAACTGGGCACGCGCATACCCGTTCCTGCCCAAAAATACAGAAAAATAACCTCCACCACCAAATCCGTCATCTACACACATAAACCGCAACCACACATCACAAAAGGCATCACAAGCAAAAATATCAAAAGATAGGTCTCGGAGGGAGTCGAACCCTCGCTGGCGGAATCAGAATCCGCAGTCATAACCGTTAGACCACGAAACCAGCCCCACTTTTAATTATTTGGTATATATTGTAGATCTATTCATAAGGAGAGTCCCCAAATCTCGAAATACTGCGGTTGGAAGAGCTTGCACAGTAAGTGAACTGTATTGCAATGCCACATTATTTTACGAAGATGGCAACTATGTTTACTGTTTTCAGCAAAAGATTGGTCGAAGCCCAGGACATCAGTCGATCGAATGGATATTCAGATTTGGAAACTTGATGAAATCCGGCGCACTGGTGGTTGGTAAAAGCTTGGGGACAGTGCAAGGCATTAGGGTAGTAGAAGCAGTGTAGTAGATGTAGTCGATGTAGTAGATACCTATAGTATTTGATATACCTTCCTCTATACCACTCATCCAACATCCTTGAGGATAGAGAAAAACTTCCTCGTACTAACCAGATGAAAGACAAGATCACCAACGCTCTCAATATGGATCCCAAGAACATGACTAAACAGGAGAAACGAGCCCCGTGCGCGGCCATTTTACCAACACCCTCTACGGCAAGTAGATATAGTAGATATACCGAGTTTGTATAACAAGTACTTCACGGCAAATGATGCGATACATCGGGGGCTTACTCGTTCATGCATCGCTGGGTTAAAAGATGCCAATAATGGCCCAACTTCCACCCTACTAGCTGGAGTGTTACTTGGAATGGAAAGCTTGGACGAGGAGCACCTCCTGGCGGAATGGAGAGCATATGCATATAAAATCCAGAGATTGCGCTTTGCCCACGACGTTCTGTGGCACAAATCACCAAAATGCTGCTGCGGCTCTAATCCTCCGACAGAACCATTGGCTTGCTGTTTTCATTTTTATTCAAGGCTGCTATGCAACGACGAATCCACAATGCCATAAACTCTTCTCCACCATCCTACGCCAATACGCAGCTCTTTACAAATCCCTTAACCCGCGGCCAGAAGAATACGAAGCGAAGATCTTGCGCAAAACTAGTGCATGCATGTTGTGTTAACATGCCTGGATCCTCAATCATCATTGTAAAGAGAAAGTTTCGCAAGGCCTTGATATTCGGAATGCGCTGCATCAAAAGGTCGGCTCCTAATCATGTCGACAGACGATGATGAAGCCTCTGGGTGGTTTTTATTCAGCCAGAGTCAGATATTTAAGAATACCCAATGGAAGCTTACCAAGTGCCGTCATACTAGAGTGCTGAATAACCTTTCCATTTGTACGGCATGTTGGGAGACACTTACCCAACGTCCTCAGAAGGGAGGAAGTCTCTTGGATCTATATATGAGCACATGTAGCCAGCTCCCACCTCTTAGTTCCAGGAGAGTCAAGCCTTTGGGCCCTGACTAGACATGCCTGTGATTTGACGAGGCCTCACCAAGCACCGTTTCTCTCACATTTTTACAATCGCACGCTCGCCCACAAAGCATTAGCCAACGCTCAAAAGCAAAGATTTGATGTGCCCCTGAAGAGTAAAGAAGCTGAATTTTCTGTTATGTTCAAGACTCGTCTTTTTCAACGTTGAAGTAAGGAAGACTGATCTTGAACCATTTTGCCAGAATCTACAAGTGGCCCATCACGTAGAAGACTCTAGCACACGAGGAGCAAGAGGAGCACGTCTTTCGTTGTCGAAATGCATACGGAGCCTTTACATTGTATCGCCAGTGGTCGGCGCTGTTTGAGCTCACGGAGGCGCGCGATTAGTCAATATTTCTTTGGCTGAACGCCATCTGGTTTGACGACGCAAAAAAAAAAAAAAAAAAAAAACCCCGTATGGAATGTTATTTGATAAATGAATGGTTGCCAGCTAGGTAGTCATGGAACTGGGATAGGGCGGATGGCTTTACTCACGCCATAGCTATTTCCTAGAAAACGGAAATTGCTTAACCATCTCAGCGCGCAGAGTTCGAAGAGTGGCTGATGCATATCAGTCGGCAACCGGCTCATTTGGCCACTGGGGAGGCTTGAGGGAATCGCAATAAAGTTAGCAGCCTCGAGCTACTGCCAGCTGCGATGAGAGTTAGGTTATACCAAAGGAACTCCAAAGAAAGATTCCTGGAAGAATCGGTATGATATGAGACTCCTGGGAGATTAGGAGCACCGAGACTCGTGGGGTCGTTGAGTTTATACTCTTTGCTTGTTGGAAGAACGCCGATAGGTAGAAAGAGAATGTAAATTATACCTGCTAGCCAGCAATGAACAGTCTTGGTAATACTTGTAATATCAGCTGCCACCTGACTGGAATACTCGCATACTGCCATTTCATTTTTACACCGCTTACATCCTCTCATTTCTCCGGCGCTGGCTGGCCAATTTTAATTTCTTTTCTTTTTTTTTTTTCCTCTTGCTATAATCTTCTCACATTCTTGCCAAGCTTCTAAACTCCAATGCGCAAACATAATGAAGGTAACCTCCCAATATGCAATCCGTTATTCGAGACATCAAGATCAACCATATTAACACTTGTGGCCTAAAGGACGGCCTAAAGGACGGCCTAAAGGAGGGTCCAGACAACTACAACGATGCCGTTGCTTGCATTAAAGCCTACCAGAGGGAAACCAACTGTATTGCCTGAAAACTCACGATCCAAACTTCCAGGCTGTTGAAAAAAGTGGGAAAGTTATCCAGCGCTTCAACTTTATTTCCCACACCTTAGCTGTAGCTCAATAGGGTAGTTAGTCCACTTATAGAAAAGATCAACTACCACACACTTGAAAGGAGCAGTAGCAATAGTTGCAATATAGATTACGACATCCCATATATGGAGTTTCCTTTCACTGCTTTTATGAAATATATTCCAAGTGGGTATCAACTATTAATTTACATTTTCTGAGAGGAGTCTGTGCATCCTTTGGTATAGTACAATCTTTTTCGTCATGCAAAGTCGTAAAGCCAACGCCGATGCCTCCCAATATGCGTCCTAACATTACATTAACCAAAACTTACAACAGCCGTAAATTGCCTTCTCTCCTTCTCCCTCACCGTAGACAGACTTAACTAGCCTCCGGAGTATGCACAACTTCAAGACCTTCCTTGTCATCTCGTATCTTCACCTCGGCTGATTGGCCCATCTTGAGTTCGCCTCTGATAATCTTATCGGCAAGCCCATTGCTAATCTCGTTGGTGATCAGCCTATTCAATGGCCGAGCTCCAAACTTTGGTTCGTAGCCGCGCTCGGCTAGCCAGTCTTTGACCTCGTTTGGCACAGAAAGAGTAATTCGTCGGTCGTCTAGACGCTGCTGGAGCTCCTTGAGACGGATATCAACAATCTCGCGAATGGCGCTCTGCGCTAGCCGCTTAAAGATGATGAAGGAGTCGATACGGTTCAGAAACTCTGGTGGATAGGCAGACGAGACGACATCCATGACGGCCTGGCGAACTGACGGATCAATGTCGCCATTGGCATCCTCCTTGTACGGGTGTAAGTGATCTTGGCCGACAAGAATATCTGCTCCCAAGTTGGATGTAAGCACGATAATGGTGTTTTTAAAGTCGACCTTGTGGCCTTGGGCGTCTGTGAGATAACCCTCATCGAGAACTTGAAGAAGCAATGCGGAAATGTCGCGATGCGCCTTTTCAAACTCGTCAAAGAGGAGAACAGCATACGGCTTGCGACGGACCGCCTCCGTGAGCTGTCCCGCATCGTCATATCCAACATAGCCGGACGGAGCGCCGATAAGTCGAGAGATGGTGTGCTTCTCCTGGAACTCCGACATGTCGAACCGAACAACTGCAGATTCAGTCGAAAAGAGGAAATTGGCGAGCTTCTTGCACAACTCCGTCTTGCCAACGCCGGTCGGTCCCAGGAAGAAAAACGAGGCCAGGGGGCGATTGTCGCCGCTCAGACCCGCGCGCTGGAGCCGCACAGCATTGGAGACGGCCTTGATGGCATCTTCTTGTCCCTTGACAGATTCCCGCAGAGTATCTTCCATGTGAACCAATTTTTCAATGTGGCCCGAGGTGAGTTTTGACACGGGAATGCCGGTGATGCGAGAGACGACATTGCCAATGTCATCGGCAGTCACCGAGTCATGGATGAGCGTTCCATTGGCATCCTCTTGTTGCTCCTCTTTGTCAGACGGCAACTTCTGCTCAAGACCGGGAATGACGCTGAATCGAAGCTCCGAGGCTCGAGCAAAGTCGCCATCCCGCTGCGCTTGTTCAAGTTCAAACCTGGCCTTGTCAAGCTCCTCCTGCACCTTCTTGACCGAGTCGATTTCGGATCTCTCCTTGTCCCATCGTGCATTGAGCGCCGAAATTTCGTCATAAAGCTTCTTCAAATCGTTTTCCAGCTTTTCCCTGCGCTCCTTGCTCGCAATATCCTTTTCCTTGCGTAAACTCTCCAGCTCGATCTGAATCGTCATGATTTTATGGTCCAGCCTCATGATGTCTTCAGGTTTGCTTTCGTGCTGCAGTTTCAAGTGGCTGGCAGCCTCGTCCATGAGATCAATGGCCTTGTCTGGAAGGAATCGATCGGTGATGTAACGATTGGACAAGGTAGCAGCGGCCACCAAGGCACCATCGGTGATTCGTACACCATGATGTACTTCATACTTGTCCTTGATACCGCGCAAGATGCTGATGGTGTCTTCTACGGTCGGCTCACTAACAATGATGGGCTGGAAGCGTCTTGCGAGCGCTACATCCTTCTCAATAACACGGTACTCTGCAAGGGTAGTCGCACCGCAGCATTGGAGTTCGCCACGAGCCAGTGCTGGCTTGAGCAAGTTGGAGGCATCAATGGAGCCTTCTGCTTTGCCCAGTCCTAGAAGAGTGTGCAGTTCGTCGATGAAGAGTATCACCTGGCCTTCTGCTTTTTGAACTTCGTCCAATACCTTCTTGAGTCGCTCCTCGAAATCGCCCCGGAACTTGGCACCGGCAATCAACGAGCCAAGGTCCAGAGAGATCACTCTTTTGTTCTTCACACTTTCCGGTACATCTCCGCGAACAATGCGCAGTGCCAGTCCCTCCAAGATCGCCGTCTTGCCGGTTCCAGCATTTCCGATAAGCACCGGGTTGTTTTTAGTCCGCCGTGAGAGGATTTGAATTGTACGCTGAATCTCGGCATCTCGTCCAATGACCGGATCAAGCTTACCATCACGAGCCTTGGCAGTCAAGTCGATGCCGAATTGTTCCAGCGCAGGCTTCTCCGGCTCACCTCCCATATTCATTCTATGAGTTCCTCCCGGGGGCTGAGGACGCCCACCGGCAATTGTTCTTACTGTTAATGTTGGGAGAAGACGTAGTGATGAAGCTCCAGAGAGCAGAGGCCGAATAGCTGGCCGTATAAGCGCTGACCTTGAAGCTCTGCCAGAGGCTCCAGCAATGCGCTGGGCCGAGGACAGTAGCTGTCGCCTAGCTTGCATTGTGATGAATAAAATGAGTGTAAAAATGCGAAAGCAATATGAATTAGCAAATATTAAGAAAGAAATTAAAAAAGAGCGCAAACGAGAATCCCCTCGTATTTTAAAGTATAAGAGAATAAAGCCAGTGGCGTTTTGAGTTTCACTTTCTACGGCCCATCAGCCCATCTTATAGCAGCTTCGCGATAGCTACAGCGCTTTCGAGCATCTTCGGCCGCCATCGGTCCAGCGCGCTAGCGCCTATCTTATCAGCACGTGCGCTGAGCCCCATGCCCACCGATAGGCGGGAATGGCTGGTACGTACCGCCGCCGTAAGCGGTTTAGCTTCTGAGGGTTCACATTTTGCTTCCCACAAACTCGCTAGCGGCGCTCACAAAGAAATCCAACATTTTCCGTTCGGGTGAGCATCACGAACGCAGTCTTCCTCATCCTCTCCACACCCCATACCAGACACCACCCGAGAGAGTCAACATGTCGGCCAAGCCCACGACCAAGCAGTTCGGGAAGTCGACCCGGGAGGTTCCCGCCTCCGCCGACCAGGCCAAGAAGTGGTATCCCGCCGACGACGACAGCGCGCCCAAGAAGGTGAGTTTGTTTGCCGATGCATCGTCATAAAGAAGGAAGAAGAAAGGGAAAAGGGAAGAAAACAAAGCCTCTGGTACCGATGTCTGCTTTGCAAGGACGTGGCGATTCGAATTGGGAGGAACAACCTGGATTTGCCGGATATGCGGTTGGCAGCGCTTGGGAAACTTGACGCTTGGTCATTTTTCGAACATCATCATCTATCTGGCGACAACTACATACAAAATCCTGCAACGACTACACCACTTCTCCCAATTGCGATCAGACTCGGCACCAGATGGCTTTCCCCTTTCTTCTATTCCTTTGCGACGATCCGACCCATCTGGGGAAATCACACACACAAAGGTCGCGCTAATACGGTTGGAAATCACAGGTTCGCAAGTCTGTCCGATCTTGGGCTCCCCGAAAGTCTCTCCAGCCCGGTACCGTCCTGATCCTCCTCGCCGGCCGCTTCCGTGGCAAGCGCGTCGTCCTCCTCAAGAACCTCGACCAGGGTGTTCTCCTCGTCACCGGCCCCTTCAAGATCAACGGTGTTCCTCTGCGAAGAGTCAACTCCCGATACGTCATCGCCACCTCATACAAGGTCGACATCTCCGCCCTCGACGCTGCCAAGATCGAGGAGATCTCTCAGCCCAAGTACTTCACCGCTGAGAAGGCCAAGGAGAAGGCCTCCGCCGAGGCTTTCTTCAAGCAGGGAGAGAAGCCCCAGGTACGTGCAAACCCAAGAAAAAAAGATACACACGAAACCAGAAAATTCGAAATTTCATAATGTGTGTGTACGTGTGTGAATGGAATTTGCTAACGGGAAATTCGCAATTACAGA